AGACCTGTGGACTTCAACTCCCAGAGTTCCTCAGCTGAGGAACTCTGGGAGTTGAAGTCCACAGGTCTTAAAGTTGCCAAGGTTGGAGACCACTGCCCTAGGCCACTCTGGATAAAATGGCTGCCTAGAATCGTCTTAAAAATCACATCACCCAGAACTTCTGAAGTCAGGCCATTCCACTGGTTGGTTGGTTCTCACTCAGAAAACGACTCCTTATTTCTCATTTGAATTTCTCCTTGATAAGTTGCCATCCATTGTTTCTCATCTGGCCTTCAGGTGCAATTAAGCTTCTCCCGAGTGTTGGTGCTATGAAGGGGGTGGGTGTGAATGGCTGGTTTGGATTTACTTTTTTCTTTTTCATTCTGTTGCAGGATTGGCACTAGGAAGCCTCCATGGGTCGAAGAGAGCCCTCCCTTGAGCAGAGGTGAGTTTGACTTCCTGGGAGATCCTTGCCCTCTCCCCCCCTCCCCAAAATTCAGGGGTTGCACTGCATTTGTGCAACCAGCTTTTCAGAAGTAACCAGTTAGGAAAAAGGAAACTGCAACAAGGCTTTAATTTATTTTCGTTAGTTTAGTTTAGCAATAGCCCTTAGACTTCTATACCGCTTCATGGTGCTTTTACAGCCCTATCTAAGCAGTTTACAGAGTCAGCCTCTTGCCCCAACAATCTGGGTCCTCCTTTTACCCACCTCGGAAGGACGGAAGGCTGACTCAGCCTTGAGCTTGGTGAGATTTGAACTGCTGAACTACAACTAGGAGTCGATTGAAGTAGCCTGCAGGACTGCACTTTAACCACTGCGCCACCTTGGCTCTTTTTAATTTAGTTCAGTTTACTGTCATTGCTCATCCTACAACAAAAATAAATACCATCTTCAGTGTACATTATAAAAATAAAAACAAAGGCACATCCTTCACATGCTATATAATTGAAATTGAAAACCTAATATTGCATTAATATTGCAATATACAGAAGAATTCAAGATAGTTCCTGCCCAGGGAAAGAAGCTGTTTTTCAGCCTATTTGTCCTTGTTTTTATTGTCCTGTACCGGCTGCCAGATGGTAATAGTTCTCAAAGGCATTCCCGGGTTGGGGGCTGCCCCTACCAGGCGTTGCAGGCATGGCTCCTGTGCTGTGTTTGTGTCAGTAGGTGGCACAGAGAAGCAGGCTAGGTCTACGCTCAGTGCTCTGAACGGTGGGCACTCAGAATGATTACTAGCCTGACAAAATTTGCAAATTTTCTTTTGATCCTTTGTGGGGGGTCCTGTGCGGCTGATCCCCGCTATTATTTGAGAGTGGATTGGATGCCAGGAAAGGAGGAAGACTATGTTTGTATACTATACTAGCTTGGATACCTGTGCTTCTGAAAGAAATTATGTGATCAGGCAATGCAGGAGAAATCTGGTTCAATCCATTGGCTCAGTGATGATCGGTGATTGAAACAGAAGGGAATATTGCTCCTGCGCCTTTAAGTCCTGAAACAGCTCCATAGGTGGAAAGCGTAGACATTTGGCGAGATACTGACGTTTAGTACTGTAAGGAGCCCCAGACTGCCCCTGAGTGAAGGAGTTGAACGTCTGTCAGTTTGAACTGAGGTAACGGAATGTGAGGCAACTGGCAGTTGGAACAGAGTTCTTTTCAGGTGGGGAGGGGGAGTAGAATTCCTTAGCATCAGAGCATATTAATTATTGTATAAGAAATACTAATGATCTGATGATCATTTCGAAAAATCCTTTCTTAGCTAAGAGGAACATATGTGTCAAATTTCAAGTTTGTAGACTTTACGGTTCTGGAGATTTCATGATGAATGAGTGGTATTTGCCTTTTATATCTATATATATTTCCGAGGGTACTAAATTCAGCTTTTTTTCATACTGCCATTTCTAGTACTTCACTGCTCTTTTAACTTCAGAAAAGAGTATCACATTTCTGTTCATCCATGATTGTTAGCAATTTTCAAAAAGCATGTTTTTGTTGCATCATTGGCACAATGATTTGAGTCCAAATTAACAAAACCACTTTGTTTTCAGGGACACGAGGCTGGCTCTTCAACGCATGTTTAAAATGAATTCAGAAAGGTAAGATTGTGCACTGTAATATTGTAAGTATCCAAATGAATTTTGGATGCTACAATAACTTGACAAAATTTGTTCTTGGCAGATTGGGCATTCCCAGTTTGTGCATTCTTTAAGTTAGGGAAATTTGAATTAAGCAGTTTTCCCTCCCAAAAAATTAGTGTCTTCATCTGTTGATTTGAAGCTTTTATTCTCTTTTAGTCACAAACATTTTCTGAGCACTGTAAAGGGTATTAATGAAGGAGAAAATGCTTCATTTTGAATATGGAATTCAATTTCAGTGGTGGTTCTCAACCGCTGTCTTCCTCAGTTTAGCAAGTTGAAAACTCCTGACCTGACCCATGCAGGTGTTAAAGTCCAACAACCTTGGCAACTTTTTAAGAACTGGATTTCAACTTCTAGAACTCATCAACCAGCCATGCTAGCTGGGGAATTCTGGGAGTTTGAAGTTCACAAGTCTTAAAGTTACAAATTTGCTTCCTATGTTCCATATTTATATATGTCTCTATTATATATTTGCTGCCTCTATTTCTATATACCTTCTTTGAAGACAAACCTGAAAACAGTTTTTTTTCCTTTTACATCTTTGCAGAGTAATTTTTAACGATGTAACATCTGCCACAAAAATTCTTGCAATTTTAATAAGTCTAGGAGGACCATAGGTCTAGCTGGAACATTTCATCTTTTAGTTGTTTACTTGTATCTCATCCCTCCTTTATTTTGCCTTGATGACTTAATGAAGACATATTTATAGACAATTCTGTAACGTGACTCTGTACGTTTCTAGTCATTGGCCCAAATGAAGATGTTTTGTCAGCCTTACGAGGGAGGTGAGAGGCCATGAAGTCAAACTTCCCAATCCATGGAGGACTCCCGTCATGGCGTCAGCAGATGGAGGTTAGCATTCCTTTGGACAGGGTTTATTTTATGGAAATGCAACAGTTTTATTATAAAGAACTAGCCGATAACCTGGTGTTGCCCTGGTATTTATTTATAGGGGGAAAATGTCCAGACCAAACATAATTTCTAATGTTGGATTTTCCCCTTTACCAGAGGGAGCTCCCTTGTGGAGTACTGTGGAGCTGTTACCACGGCAACTCCACTCGCTGTACAGTAGAAGGCAGTACAGTAGATGCCATTTTAAGGAACAACAGGCTATATTTTAACAGAACACCCCCCCCTCCAGGGGTGTTAGGGGTGTATTACCCCCACAGTATTTATTTCCAGAGAGTAAGTCATCTGTGTACCACAGTTCTGCTGGAACACACACACATAAACACACACACACCAGTTTATATATATATAAATTATTAGCATGAAATTTATTTGATGTTTCTTCCTTCTGGCCAACAGTGTCGTGGGCGCAAGCAGCAGGAACGAGATGAGATACAGTTCTGAGAGGTTTCCAAGGACTCCGGCTCCATTCTTCCTTCAGGGACCTTCCTCTTCAGGGAGGCTCCAATTCAGCATCTCGTTGGCTCACCTAGGTTCTTTCCTTCAGCCTCAGTGTGTACATTTGGAGAATCATCGCTTGGGAAATGTGATTTCGAGTGAGCCAGGTTATGAGCCTCTTTGGCTCATAACCTTAAAAGGACACAATCCTTTTAAGCTCCTTTGTCAGCTTAGCGGAAGGAATGCAGGTAATCCCTGGGTTACGAATGTAATAGAGCCTGCCAATTATATTCGTAACACGAGGATTTGTTTGATTGAATCCCGTTAAATGAACCTGATCGCTCCCTGCTTTCCCCAGTGCATTTGTTAATTGAATGTGTAGGTCATTAAATGCACACGAGATATCTCAGAGTGGGGAAGAGCATGCGGGGCCTCCAAAGCCACCTCCAATCCAATGAAATACCTCATGCTCCCTTGGGATCCCCACAATTGCTTCCCCACATTCTGTCCTGCTGGGTCTCCACAGTCTGGGCCTGCTTTGCTGGCATCCTGGATTCCACTTACTCCCCACTCCCCCAACCCGTTTCCCATAGATTACTTTCTTTTACCCACTGGCAGAGAAGCCAAAGCGTTTTATTCAGATGGCGACGAAGCTGTAAGAACGTGACTTTAAGGAAAATGTTTTCGCCAGCTTCTGACAAAAGACTTCGGCTTGGGGCCACGTGTCCAGCAGGCCTCTGGTAGTAGAAAAGGCCTGGGCAGGGCCACAGGGATCCAGCTTCAGGGATCGAGACAGCGGTAGCAGCCGCCGACCTCATTCGAACTAGCCAGTGGGCAGCAAGCAGGAGGCTCCTTGAGGCCAGTCAGACTGGGCCCAAACTCAGCCTGCAGGCCTTCATGGCAGAGAAGCTGGTCTTTTATTCAGACGGGGAAAGCGGTTTTCTCTTTGTGGTGAACAACTGCTGTGGTGCTGCAAAATTTGTAGCTTTGGGCCTTGTTTGGAAGCGCCAGGGGAGTGCTCCGTGTAGCTTTGAACATTCGCTAAGGGAATGCTCGTAACCCGGGGATTACCTGTACGGCGCAGCGTAGTCTGAAGACAGGCGCCTCCAGGTTTACTACAAATACTGAATCACGCAGGAGTGGCTTCAAAAGCCACCCGAAAGGGAAACGGTAGCAGATCCGCCTCTCGCTCACCTGGCCTGGGTTTATTGCCCTTTCTTAAATGTACATTCTGAAATTAAATCTAGTATTCTAGTCAAAGCTGGCCAATAGAAGGGAAATAAGATTATAAAAGAAGTTGCAAATAAAGGTTTTCCTCAAATCAGAAAACGTCCTCTTTGTTTTCAATGACTCCTACAAGTTTTGATTCTGCTTATCCTACCTGGGCTTCTTTCTAGGTGGCGGGGGGAGGTTTCAAGACGGGGAGGGTTGCAATGGCTTCTATGAATGTGGCTGGCTCACATAGTGCTGCGGCTCCATCCTGAGTGTCCCCCCTCCCCCGCTCCCAAGATGGAAATCGGGCAGCTGGGTTGTTCCTATGCCAAGCAGAGGCTGCCAGGGCCTGCATAGCTCAGTCCCGGAAGAAAGCGGGAGAGCAGAGATTCCTCAGCAACAGCTTTGTCCCACCTAAAATGCCTTTTGGTTGTAAGAATTCTCCAAAAGTCTCTTGACAAGTCCCTCCCCCAATAGTTGGTTTGTTTATTAGATTTTTTCCTGGCCTTACTAATTTATAAGTAACTTGGTAATAGCTCTGCTTTGCCCAGGTATTTATAAGGGGAAAATGTCCGGACCAAATGTAATTTCTAATGTTGGATTTCCCCCTTACCAGAGGGAGCTCCCTTGTGGAGTACTGTGAAGCCATTACCATGGCAACTCCACTGTGCTACACAGTAGAAGCCATTTTATGACAGTACAGTAAAAGCCGTTTTAAGGCCCAAAAGGCTGTATCTTAACACAACAACCCCCCCCCCCCCCAAATCAGGGGTGTCTTACCCACACAGTATTTTTCTCCAGAGAGTAAGTCATCTATGTACCAAGTTTGGTTGAAATTGCTCAAGATGTTCCAGAGTTATGCTGAAACACACAGCCATTTATCTGTCTGTCTGTCTGTCTGTCTGTTCAAGGCAGCAAACAT